AAAAAAAAAAAAACAAAAAAAAAACTTAATGGGTTAAACTGTAAATATTGCTTGTATGCTTAATCTAGTTTCCTTAGACCACATATTTAATCACATATTTAATCTGTTTGATTTGTACAAGCACTTCCAATATGAAAGACCTAAAATGAGATGAAATCTTCCTAAGCATTCAAATACTAACATATTTAAGTCTAAATTCACAGATTTAATAAATAAAATCTTTTAATACTTAATACATTTTAAAGTTTAATAAATCAAAATCTTTTAAACATTTAATGTTTACACACTTAAAATTTTATAAGCATTTTAAAATTAAAATCACAGGTAATTTCACATTCCTTCAAGCATTGCAAATTAAATTCAAAGCATCGGGTTCTCCAATACATTAAGGTATCTTAAATAACAAAATATCACAATAATCGGAAACTTATTCCTCTATTTGACAAGGATTACTGGTATCATGGTTTTGATTTACTTGCCATAATCTGTGTGTGACATTCTACCAAGGTAACATTCTATCTGAACTCAGGACTATGATACATTCATAGTCAGAGATTCTGGGGTTGGCCAAGTACAGGTTGCTACTTCTGCAATAGTTATATGCAAATTTCTGGTTAACAAACTAAGCCCCTTGCAATAGTAATGGGATTTTCAAGACCACCCCCAGATCCCACCTCACTCAATGAGGGTCAGGATTTTGTTACCTTTTCTGAAACTCTTAATGGCCTCATACATCAACTAAGCTTCTGCACCCACTACCCAGATTGGAATCACTTCACTGCCTCTGTAAATTCTGCTTCCTTCTTTCTTCTTTTTTTTAACTGACTCATCCACCTCATTATAATTACAGAAATCACTGAAGGAAGCTACTGATTAGCAAGATTTTTCCTGTATTTTGTCCTTACATAAATTCATGTTGATGAAGGGAAAACAATCTTAAAGAATGATAGTGTAATGCATTTTTCTGTGAGAGACATCTGTGGTTTTGGGTTAAGTTGGTCCACATCACCTTTGAAATGAAAGTATATGTCAGAGGTGATCATTTGACTCTAATCAACTCATTCATTCATCGTATACCTGCCATGATGGTGGTCCTGTGTAGGTGCTGGGATACATGCACAGAAGAAGACAGTCTGGACCTGAAAAAAGCATGCCAAAATTAAGTCTACCATGGAGTCAACTCACAAATTCATGTTCTCCAAACCTTTGATCAAATCATCTATATTGTAGGGGTGTCTGGGTGACTCAGTCAGTTAAGCGTCTGAGTTCAGCTCAGGTCATGATCCCATAGTTGCTGGGTTCAAGCCCCACACTGGGCTCTGCGCTGACAGTGTGGAACCTACTTGAGATTCTCTCTCTCCTTCTGTCTCTCTGCCCCACCCCCACTTGCACACATATGCACTCTCAGAATAAATAAAAAAAAATCATTCTTACTGTAGCCAAGGCCATGATCGCAATAAACTTTGAACGCCAACATAAGAAAGAACTAAACACAGTTCAGGGAGACACTTACTGAGAATGGGTAGTTGGGAGAAACAAGCACTTTCGTTTTATTCATCAGCTTGCTCACTGATTGTCTATCTGTTCAAGGCGCTTAAGCCCATACTTGCTCAAGGTGTTCCATTTTTTTTAAGTTTATTTATTTATTTTTTAGAGAGAGAGAGAGAGAGTGAGTGAGAGAGAGAATCCCAAGCAGGCTCCACACCATTAGTGCAGAGCCTGATGTGGGACACCAACTCATGAACATTGAGATCATGACCTGAGCTGAAGTCAGACGCTTGGTTAAGCAACTGAGCCACCCAAGCACCCCAAGGTGTTCCGTTTTAACCGAGGAGAGTGCATGGTTAATGAGGGACATGTGAATAGGCAGATACATTAGGTGAGCCCCAATGCAGAGGAGAAGATCTTTATTGGTGGGTTGGGTCTGGAGCTCCTGAGACCAGGAGACACAGAACCTGTGCTGGGCCTGCAGTGACCAGGACCCCAGGTCCATGACTGATTCACTGATTCAACACATGCTTACTGCATTCCCACTTTATGCCAGCACTTTAGGTACTAGGAATACAAGACAGACCAAATTCTTTCTCCCAGAAGCTCAAAACAGGGGAAAGGAGACAGCAATAAGTAACTATATAGACTATGAAGTGGTGATAAGTACTATGGAAAGAAATAATAAAGTGGGGTAGGAGGACAAGAAGTTGGGGTTAGAGGTGCCATTTCATGCTGGTTGTCAAAGAGGTCCTCTCTGAGGAGGTAGTGTAGTGAGTTGAATAGTGTCCCCTCAAAATTCATGTCCACACAGAACCTGAGAAATGGGCACTTATTTGGAAAGAGTGCCTTCGTGAATGCAATTAGTTTAAGGTCTCAAGATGATATCATGCTGGATTCAAGGTGGGCACTAAATCCAATGACCGGTGTGCTCATGAGAGGAGAGGACATGGAAGAAAGGTATGCCAAGATGGTGGCAGAGATTGCAGTGAAGCTCCACAAGCCTAGGAGCACCTAGGGCCATCAGGAGCTGGAAGAGGCAAGGAAGATCCCTGAACATTTTAGTAACAATCAAGGGATAAATTGTTTACTGGCCTAAAGCACAGTCCCCAGCAGTCGTCCAAAAATAACAATTTCATAGAAAAAACTGTTTTTTACTTTCTACTCTAGTATGATCCACATATCCTCCCACCCCCCACCCCCCTGCCATGTCTGGAAATTCTGGCTAGATTGTTCACAGGGTTGATGTGAGGATTAAATGATTTAGGAAAGGCTAAGCTCTTAGGATGGTACCTGACACCTGATAAATGCTCAACTGACGCTAGCCATTTGTAGCCTTGTTGATGATGTTAACTGCAAACTCCTTTTCTGTCAGTCACAATACCCAGCACAGGCCTGAGCACAGAATATAATATTTAGGAAGATGCTCAGTGAGTGACTGGTCTCCAACACTTGGGATTTCTTCCACACTTGAAATATCATAGCTTATTTTGTGTCTTTTTTAAAAATGTTCTAAGTATTAATTGATTTAGAAAAACAGCTCCACCAACTCTATTTTGTTTAATTTTATTAATTCCTGCTGTTATCTTAATGTTCAGGCTTTTTTGTTCGCTAGTGCATTCAAGGTAATTTTCCTGAGAGTACAGCTTTGCATCCCACAAGATATGCAGTATATTCATAGTGACCCTGTTAATGATTAAAGCAATGCTGTACATAAGGCGCTTAGCACAGTGCTCAGTAATGTTTGGTTGCTTTAACCTTACCCTGCACACGGCGGCCAGTCTATTTGACACTCTGGTAAGCAGTTGCTTAGCAAAGCCACCTTCTGCGTCTTTCTCCACTTTACTTTTGCCCTTGTAACTCCTCCCAGTCCTTCAGGGGGCGGGGCCAGGTCTTCACGCCCCTAACCCCACCCCGCCACGTTCCCTTGACACTTTTTGCGTGCTCCACACATTCTATAATCCTGTCTCCTTCCGTTTTCTAAAAGCAGCTCTGGAATTAGGATGAGAAAAATAGTCCCTTGACAACAGAGTTCTTTCCACAAGAAGGCGGGACTGGGGCGGGGCTTAAAACCGGAAGAGACAGGAAGTCCGTGATCCTTGTGGCAGGATTGGGTCCCGCATGCTCAGGGGGCGGGTCAAGTGGGCGGAGGTATCCATTTTACACAGCGGACTGCCCGCCGCCTCCATTTAAGGCGGGGAGAGGAGCGCGGGCAGCAGTTGCTGTGGTTTCCCAGTTGAGGTTGCTTGTTTCTTTTGGGAGCAGAAACTCGTGGAGGTAGTGTCTTGCGACCGATTTTACCCGCGAGGGACTACAGATCAGGCGATCAGGAGCGCAGCCCGACCAGGCCCAGCCCTTACTTTCCCTTCACCACTTGGTGCCCATATCTAGGTCGGCTCCGGCGCGGCTGAGAAGGCCGCGGGCGAGATGTTCAAAAACACGTTCCAGAGCGGCTTCCTCTCCATCCTCTACAGCATTGGCAGCAAACCCCTGCAGATCTGGGACAAAAAGGTCAGGAGTTGGGGACAGCCGCTGGGCGGGGTGCAGGGGCCGCGCGTCCCCTCCTCGTCCGGAGGCTGGGGACGGGGTGGTGGGTAGTTGTGTAGAGTTGGGGCCTAGGAGTAGGGGAGGCCGGGCGGGCGCTGCTGTGACCTGTCCCCAGGCTGGCGTGACTGAGGTGCAAGGTAGGGGCGTCGTGTAAGCAGTTGGGGGTGCGTGTGGGGTGGGCGTGGCTGGGGTTTAAGTGTCCAGAGGCCATGGTGTGGTTATGACAGTGGTCCCTCTCCGCAGTCTTGATTTGCTCAGTCGGTTCCTCAGAAGCCTCGGTTTCCCAGTTTATACAGTGGGATAGATAGTACCTGTGTCATAGCGTGAAATGCATAAACTTACTTGAGGTTGCTTTGGGAGCATGCAGATGAAGGAAGCTGCTGTTCACTGATTTCACAAATATTTACTGATACCCTGTTTTGTGCCAGGCACTGTGCTGGGCACAAGACACAGAGCTTTTGTTCCAGGCATCCTTATAGAGGCACAGCCAGAAGGCAGTTATGTTTGGATTTCATTCATTTGCTCCTTTCCTTACAGTGATCTCAAACAAGGGAGAATTCGGGTGGCCTTTGGCACCTGCTCCACATTCAGTGCTACTTGGGGCTGAACTGTGCCTTCTGTGCTTGATTTCTACATCAGGAAAATTGCAAAATGGTGATAAAGTTTTGTGTGGGTTAATAAGTTCAGAGCCAAGTACAAGCCTCGTTATTTTTATTTAGGTCTCCCCTGGATAATACTTTCACTGACCCCAGGAGATGATGACCTTGTCCACTTTTTGGAGATGTGGGGTAGGGGGGCATGTATGTCTAGAAGGCTGTGCGTTGGTCTGCGTTTTATTAGTTGGTTATTTCATTGCTCACGTGAATTCCTAGTCCGCTGTACCCTTTTTTAGGATAAGTTCAGGTAGGCAGTCTCTTGTGGAAGACAGGTGATTTTCTCAGGGGAGAATGGAGAGAAGTGGTATGTTGGATGGTATTTAATAGAGATAAATGTGGAATAATCTAAGTAAGCAGGTTATGGGTAACGAAGCCAAGAATCTTGGATTTCATCTCAGAACAGCTCTTTGTCTTCCTTATCTGCAAATGAGCGTTTGGGGCCACACAGCGATTGATAGAGAACACCGAGAGGCTTCTGCCGGTCAGGACTAGGGAATTCTGCATTTTGAGAGCAGCTTTGAGAGTGCTGTGTTCTTCATGTCATTTTTATAATAGTTGGCAGATCTGAATATAATGAGTTGCTTGGGCCCTATGCGCATGTGAAACATCGAAGTCTCCTCTTTTCACTATGCTTCTGTCCGCAAGCCTAGTCTCACACCAGGAGTATTACACAGGAAAGCAGTTTCTTAGTTTTGTTCCCTACGTTATTGAGGTTTTCAGTTCCATGGTTCTGTTCACATTGGAATAAACACTGAAACCTCTGAAACTGCATCTCTACAAAGAGAACGTGGTGTGAATGTACCTGGGAACTTTGTAAGGACGATGGCTGCCCACCTGTGGCTGGGCTTAGTTATGGGCTGTCAGGAGGCATGGAGGCAGTAACCTTGTGTGCTAGCTGAACGTGCAGTTACAACAAAAAGGTCAACGTAAGGCTCTTGAAATAGAGAACGGGACCTGATCTAGGAGAGGTTTCTAGAGCAGGCCAGAGAACTCAGTAACACTGAAAGACTTGCAGTGGTAGGAACGCTTCAGCGTTTCGATGAGGTGAAACTTACCAGAGTTGTCCATTTTGACCTTTCTGGGCTTGATCTTTTTGTGTGTGTTTTATTTTTCAAATGCAGCTTTTTGGCCAGTCAATATGTTTACACATGGAATATAAAAGCAGAGTAACCATGGTGCACTGTGTCCCTTAACAACGCCGCTAGAGGTCGGATGGTACCCTAATGACATAAACACGTGTGAAAACATTATTAGAACACCTGGCAGGGTTACTTGGAGTAAATTAAACAGACCTTCTGGCAAAGAAAACATTTAGAATAACACTCATTTTAAGCAAAATTCTTATAATAGTAAAAGTTAATTATATTTCTACTTTTTGTATTTTTTTAAGTTTATTTATTTTAAGAGAGAGAGAGCGAGAGAGCGTGTGGGAGTGGCAGAGAGAGAAGGAGAAAGAGAGAGAATCCCAAGCAGACTCTGCACTGTCAGCATGGCTCCCTACATGGGGCTTGAACCCACAAACTTTGACATCATGACCTGAGCCAAAATTGAAAGTCAGATGCTTAACCGAGTGAGCCACCCAGGTGTCCTTCTACTTTCTGTGTTTGTTTGTGTATAATGTTTATTTTTGAGAGAGAGAGAGAGAGTGTGTGAGCTGGGGAGGGGCAGAGAGAGGGAGACACAATCCGAAGCAGGTTCCAGGCTCTAAGCTGTCAGTACAGAGCCCGACGTGGGGCTCGAACTCACAAACCGCAAGATCATGAGCTGAGCCAAAGTCAAATACTTTTTGTATTTAGACTGAAATGGGTTTAGGGGTGAATCTTTTCCCCTGGGGCAAGGGAAGGAAAGGGAAAGGATAAGTTTGGGGTCAGATCCATAGGCTTTGTTGCATGTGTGCCTTTTCTTAGCTATATTAAAGTCCTCAGGAAGTGTTGGGAATCCAATTCAGTTGGGGAAACACTGGGAATTGATATACTTATCAAAGTATTGAGCAACAGTTAAATCACAGGCATTGTGTAGATCTGGGGAGATAAAAAGCTAGAAGACATTTTCCCTGCTCTTAGGGAGTAAGGCAAAGTTGTAGTAAAGGTAAAGTTCGATGGAGGGAGGGATAGACCATCCACATTTATCTAGAAACGACCCTGAACTCTGCCAGTAGTATATGGCTATTTTTGTTACTATTGTGATTTCACAAACTTTACTATTCTCCTTCCTGAGTTTATGGAGAAGAATTTCTATAATTTGTTTTTTGTAAAGAGTAATCTTGGAAAAATTAAGTTTGGCTTCTGTTTGGGCTCTGTGTCTCCTTATGAGTGTGAAGAGTGAATGCCATATTCACACTAGTGAATTGACAGGCTCCATTTTTGTGGGTGTGCTTACTAACATCTGTAACATCTGCATTTATCAGACCCTCTTTGAAGTTCATAGCTCCTGCCGCCCATCTCTTCCTTCAAATCTCAACTTAAACATTGTTACATTGGGAGCTTAAGTTAGGTCTCCTGTGTATTCCTGTGGCCCTCTACTTCACACTGTATGGCAGTTGCCTATTTATTGTGTATTTCCCACTAGACTACAAGTTCCTTTAGGGGAAGAAAACTTTTTTACCTTGAAACCCCAGGGCTGGAGTTGGGACAGTGTGGATGTGCGCCCTGGCTCTGTCCTATGTCCTGTCTTGTGTAACCTTGGGCAAGCACTTACCTGCCGAGTTTTCTTATTTTGTAATGATGCCACCTCCTTCCATGATTATGGAGATTAAATGAAGGTTTATATAAAATGCTTGGCAACAGAGTTATGGCATACAGTATTAAATAGGGCAGCAAACCCAGGAATTTGCTCAAGAGTAAATAAGTTTATAATTGATGCCTAGGAATAGGAAATACAGTAAAGCCAGACTTCTGAAATTAGAATAATTTAGTCATTGTAGCATGGCTTTCCCAGTCCAAAACCCTTAACGTGACTCTAAGGGCACACAGCACATGGTGGGGTGCCTGCTTAACCAATTCTCCAGGCTTGCACTCCCCCCCCCACCCCCCACCGGGTTCCCCTCTTAGACCTCCTACTGAACTGAAGGAGGTTGTGTTCTCTCACCTTCAGGCCTTTGTACCTGTCCCTCTGCTGGGACCCACCCCACCACCTCTGTTAGTCTCCAGGTTGTAGCACAAAGGCACTTCATCAGATTAAGTGAGTCTATATCCACTTGCCCCTCCAGGTTAAGTTCATTTATACCCCCTTATAGAGCCTCTACTTCCTTTTTATCATACCCATCGTTCTTGAAATTCATTCTTGAAATTAGCTTCTTAAAATTTGTATTCCTTGCTACACTGCAAGCCTCCTGATAAAGACCTCTGTCTTTATCAAACCAACAGCTTAGGAGAAATTAGGGGTTTCTTAATGTTTCCTTAACTTCTGGAACCAGCAAATATTTCATTTATTAAAGGACTTTTATGTTTAATGTCGATATCACTTCTGGTTTGTAAAGAAAATACCAGAAGGTTCTGTTTCCACTTATGCCTGTGTAAAACATAAAATTTTCATATTTCAAAATATGTTTAATATCCTAAAAGTCTACTAGATGAGAATGTTAGTTCATACAAGTTTCTCTGTCTTTCTCACCTCTCACCTTGTCTTTCAGCTGCCGCTGATCCTCGCCTATTCTAAAACTAAATATTAGAAGCAGACTTTTTGTGGTTGTTGCTGGATAGTATTAGATTCCTTCCCTGTTCCTAATTTTAAAAATGAATAATCTCTCTCCAGAAAAGGAGTTTCCACACCCTCATTTTTAATTATCTTGGTACATGTTAAACTGCTGCGTTCCCGGTAGTAGGATCGAGGGCATTGGACATGAAGGTAGTATAGCTGGGTTTTTTTCCAGACTTTTACTGGATCAGCCTGATGATGTTTATTATTCTGAGTAATAGCTTTTACTATAATTGGGCGAAGGCATGGGTTTGAGTTACACTTGCCCTTGCAAGGCATTGCTAGGAAGAGACTGGTTAGCACTGCACTTAATTGCCTTTACTGTAACTAAAGGGTTGTTTGTATATGCCCAGAGTTTCCCGTGTGCTATCTGGAGAGTCCCTGTTAAGTGCAGCAAAGGGAAAGGAGCTTTGACCCATCGGAGCCTGCAAGGCCCAGGCCTTGAGACAGAGCTATGCCCAGCTCTCCCCACAGAGGTCTCCCTCTGCCTGTTTTCTGACTTACATCCCGGCCCCTAGCTACAGGCGAAACTTTCCTGCCGACATGTACAGCTCTAATGGCTTAATGTAAATTGGAACATGTGTCATTATTAAGACTAGGATGCCAGATGGCTGAGGGCTCAGCTGTCTGCCAGGATAAGTGGGTGGAGCCAGAAAAATGAAAGGTGGGGGTAGAGAATGGATACAACTCATGTGTTATTTTTAAAACACTTGAAGAAATATGGAGACTTGGCTAGCTTTCTCCCTATCCCAGTAGTACTTTTTTCCCCTCAGCTTGACCTTCCTCCCTGGAGCTTACATTGAAAAAAAAGAAAAAGAAAAGAAAATCAGTGTTCTTTATTAGTTGCCCCAGTGACCATGGAAAGCCTGGAAGAGTGATTGCAAGAAGGGCTTGAAGGTTCCTTTCCTGGTGTCCACAGAGGCTGAGAACCTTTTTGATTTGTTGTAGCCAGTAACCTGGGTTCTGCAGCTCCCAAAGTACCTCCATCTCATAGCTTTGGGGGTGGAGGGAGGGTGGAGATAGGGAGTTCGTGAAAAAAAAAGTAAGATTAGCTTTGTTTATTTTTTGGAGGAATAAAACACTTGTAACCTACACCTTGATAGCGGGACTGTGTCATGAAGTAAAAAAGAATGAAAAAGTCAGAAACAATTGGCACTGTCTCATTTAGAGAGGGAAGTAAGATAAAACCTATTTCCACCGTAAGCAATAAATACTGACCAGTTCACTTTATCTTCATTTCAAAGCCAGGCCTGCTTAGTGTCCTCTGAACTGGAAGGAGCTAAGGAAAGGAAGTCAGTGCTTTCTGAGGTCGTGTATCTTGTTGTATGTGTTTGTCAGAAGCAGGACTGAGGAGGGGGTTGCTTCCTGCAAGACCTTTACAATTTAAAACAGTGACGGCCAGACTGCCAAGGTGGTTGAGAAGCCTTGTCCCAAATTGTCCACCCCGCTTTTCCCTTGATCCTAGTTTTAGAGCCTAAAGAGGTTTGGGGAGGTGTCCTTTAAGTGCTCATCTCTCTGATTAATTGCACCCCCCGCCCCACCCCTCTTTCCCAGTGAGTTTCGATTTGCAGCCCTTAAATAAAGGAGAAGAATCATAATTCACTAACCAATCAACTTAATTTGATTTCAGAACTCTGGCAGTTGGTGATAGGAGAATACTTAAAACTCCAGAGAGACCGGTGGGCATTCCTTTGAAAAAGCTGCCTTTTTTCCTGGTTCTCCTGGTTTATGGACTACGTTACTTAATTTTGTAAGACCGAAGTCCTGGAGTGTGGTGGTTGATGTGTTGCTGAGAGAAATTTCTCTGTAGGAAGTTTTTGAAAGTCCAGCTAAAAATGAGCTTGCCTCTGGGGCAGAGGCAGAAGAATACACAAAGTCTGTTTTGGCTTCCAGTCTGTTGGCTTCTGCGTGCTTTGTAAGGCATTGTTTTCTTCTGTATAAAGACTTGAATAGTAGCATTTGCTGGAGTGAAGTCATCTGCTAGAAACTTTGAGATGGGCAGAAGCAAATTTCCTAACATTTCCTCCCTGTGGAATCTGGCCGAGCTTTCTGGAGCCGAGAGAACATTCTCCCTGTGCTCTGAGAGACCTTTGGGGATGTAAGGTTCGAAGCCATGCTTTTAAGCAATATTGGATAAATTGCAACAAGTTGCCTTTTAGCAATAATTAATTGATACTTCCAGGTTAACCATGTCGATTGTTGCATTGTGTATCCTTTAAAGAAAGAATGAAGTTATAAAGAATAATTAGTTGTATGTTATCAAATTAGTGTTTGCATCTTGTTGGAATACCAGCCCCTCTTAGCAACATGACTACATCACGTTATTTGGAAATAATTTCGCATTTGATTCCTCCTTCACCAGCAAGTCCGTCTGTTTTCCACAGCAGCTGTGGGCTAGCAGATCGAGGAGGAATATTGCCATTTGGTCCCGAGTGTTTATGTGGGGAATGAGGTGGGCCGCGTTGGCATGTGCTACACAGACCCAAGCCTTTGTGCTCTTAATCTCCCTGGGAAAGAGGCCCAGAACTCGAAGCAGGAGGGCAGCGGTGTCGCCAGCTTTGTTTGAGGGGCACTTCAATGTGACGTTTGTGTCTTAAGAACCCAAGAAATGCTGCATTGGCAGAGATCTGGGGCCCATCCACCCTGCGTTCTGTCTCTGATAATGGGCACCAAAGGCTGATTTGTGGGAAAGCATTCCTCATGCTGGCAGCCTCCCTGGCTTTGTGATAGACCCCAGTCTCTCTGGCTTCCTATAATAGTCCATGGTGGATATGTTATCCAGGAGTTTTTTTTAAATCCTCCTTGAATCTATTCACCCTTGCCAACTCTCAGGGTGACAAATTCCAGAAGTCAGCAAATATTTGAATGCTTAGTTTATGCCTCACATAGTACTAAGCTTTGTAGAAGATGCAAATGATGCTTACTACTTGATCCCTACCCTTGAGCTTATACTTTTGTAAGGAGACAAGACTCAGTTACATCTCGCAGAAAAAGATAGGCAGTGATATCAAATGTCCCATGGGAACACCAAGCACACCTCAAGTGGATCAAATTCACAGTACCAGAGGTCAGAGACTGATGCCTAAAAACAAAATGCCGTATTATTAATAATCCATTTTGAAAAAACAACTCTCAGTCAGACTTGACACTGTGTTCTCTCTTTATATGCAAGTCTACTGGAAAGCCAAAGGATTGAGTCAATATGACATGTCAATACAGCCATTTTCACTATGCCTGGAAAAAGGTCACATGCTTTAGGTGTATCCTGTACCAAATCTTTTTTTTTTTAATTTTTTTTTTCAACGTTTATTTATTTTTGGGACAGAGAGAGACAGAGCATGAACGGGGGAGGGGCAGAGAGAGAGGGAGACACAGAATCGGAAACAGGCTCCAGGCTCTGAGCCATCAGCCCAGAGCCCGACGCGGGGCTCGAACTCACGGACCGCGAGATCGTGACCTGGCTGAAGTCGGAGGCTCAACCGACTGTGCCACCCAGGCGCCCCTCCTGTACCAAATCTTGTTGATGTTTTTCATGTGTTAATACATTCAGCCCTAATAGTCCAGCCCTGTGTCAAAAATGCCTTTGCGTTTCTCTGCTGTGTCCATATTAGGTGCTTAAGCGCTCATTGCTTGAAGGTAATTGTGCTTTCCTGAATATTTTAAGAGGGGAAATCCATATTGAATATTGATCTCTCTTCATATTGTACCTCCTACATATGCAGCAGACGACACAGAACCATGTAGGATGAAGTGCTAAATTACATGGTCTAGGCTACATGAGCCAGACAGACAAATCAGAAAGAAGAGAGGTTGGTGTGGGCTGAAACGCTGAAGAAGGGTTTTGTGTGCAGCACCGATGAGACTTGAATTCTTTAAAAATTTGAAATTTAGGGAAAAAATAAGGAAGCAGGAAGTAGGAGCATTGTAATAAGCAGTGTAGAAGATAAAAATGATGCTTGATACTGGGGAGTAGTGCTCTCATTTTCTGGTTGCTGCCCTCCCAGTGGAGGTGCCCTTCCAATGGCACCCAGGATTGGGCCTTTTTTTTTTTTTTTTTTAAACATTTTTTATTCATTTTTGGGACAGAGAGAGACAGAGCATGAACGGGGGAGGGGCAGAGAGAGAGGGAGACACAGAATCGGAAACAGGCTCCAGGCTCTGAGCCATCAGCCCAGAGCCCGACGCGGGGCTCGAACTCACGCACCGCGAGATCGTGACCTGGCTGAAGTCGGACGCTTAACCGACTGCGCCACCCAGGCGCCCCCAGGATTGGGCCTTTTTGACCGAAGAAGTATATAAGACAGTGTGGAAAGCCTGGTCATTAATCCTGACTCTGTCACTTAGGGTCCTCATTTGCACTGCCCGGATGTCAGTGTCCACATGTGTAAAATACCACCTACCTTATGATTTTTGTTGTTAGGATTAAGTCAGAGAGTGTATATGAATGTTCCTAGTGCATAGTAGGCACTGAGTAAATGTTAGCTGAATCGAGTTGATTTCTTTTTCTTTTTTATGTTTATTTTTTGAGAGAGAAGGAGAGAAAGATTCACAAGTACACTCCATTCTGCCAGCACAGAACCCAACAGGGGGCTCGAACTCGCAAACTGAGATCATGACCTGAGCCAAAACCAAGAGTCAGACACTTAACTGACTGAGCCACCCAAGCGCCCCTCGAGTTGATTTCTTTGGGAAGAAATTTATCCTAATTTATAGATTGCCAAGTCACCTGCAATTCCTGTGGTGGCTGATGGGACCTTATATAGAGGTAATATCATGGCCTACTTACAGATGAGCTCAGTATACCGTGTCCCAAAGTTCTATGTTATGCCCCAAGAGCTACTGTGGTTTTCTTTAAATGGTCCCATTCAGCCTTCAAAATCTTAACAAAGTTGTTGCCAAATATTTCAGTCCTAATTGGTTTAATTTTCTTTGTTGTAGGTGCGGAATGGCCACATCAAAAGAATCACTGATAATGACATCCAGTCCCTGGTGCTAGAGATTGAAGGGACGAATGTCAGGTAGGTGGCCCCTCTGCTCACCCAGAGACCCGGTACACCAGGGAGGCAGTACGTCACAGAAGTTAATAAGCACAGACTGTGGCACCGAGCGCCTGGTGTGGATCCAGCTCACTGCTTACAGCTTACCTTGGACAAGTTACTTAACCCACAGGCCTTAGTTTCCTCATCTGTAAAATAGGGATAGTAACAGGACACCTTCCTTAGAGGGTTGTTGTGAAGATTAAGTAAGCAAATTGTGTATAAAGCACTTAAAGCCTGCTCAGCACATAGTAAGTGCTGTATGTTAGTTATATTATTATTAATAAGTAACCAAGGCTGTGGGTGTGGGCGGAGGGATGGCACCGGTCATAGTAGATGGCGTGTGCCACTGTGTGGCTCTCTGTGCCACAGTGGTCCTAGTTTACGTTTTCTATCACTTGATGCTTCTCTTAGACCAGAACTGAGTCTTCTCTCACTGGAGGAAATTCCTCAGATCGCTGGCCTGGCTTTGTTTTTCAGGTTATTTTTTTGTTGATGTCTAGCTCTGTGTTCAGCTTTTGTTTCAGAGTCCAGCGTTGTGTTTTCTTAAGCATCAGCTGATTCAAGGATTGAGGATTGGGTGAGGTATCTGGCTCTTTTAGATCTGCTTTCCAACTTACCTCTTGGACCGAGTGTTTTTGCTGTGTGTACCACAAGGGAAGTGCTTACCAGTGTCCCCTCTCTCTGCAGCACCACGTATATCACCTGTCCCGCAGACCCAAAAAAGACACTGGGGATTAAACTGCCCTTCCTTGTCATGATTATCAAAAATTTGAAGAAATACTTTACCTTTGAAGTACAGGTTAGTATATGCACATGAATGTGTACACTCTCAGCTATACCATAGGGATAGCTCATCAACTTGCAAGAAAAAAAATAGCTCTAGGAAAGTATCTTTAGTCTTTTGTATGTATTTTTAAAAACAAAATTTTTTTTTAATCTTTATTTATTTTTGAGAGAGAG